GCGCAGAGAACAGCCAACGGATGCCCAACGAGGCAAGTCGGGCCAATTGTCTGCGCGCACCTGCGAGCTTGCTGTGTTCTACGGGGCAACGCTGGACAGCCGCTCTACTGCAGCGTTGGCACGCCGTCGACCTGCTCTGTTGGCAAGTCGCCTTTCCGCAGTGCTGGCGCGGCTCCTCTACGCAACACTGGCAGGCGGTCGACCGAGCTGTGCTGGCGGTCGACCAGGCTAGCTGCAGGGTTGCTAGGTGCCTGATGTAGTCATTGTTGCCATTGCTTGTTCTATCATTCTGTAATTCCAACTTTGCTAGTGGAAACTCTTGCCGATTTCTCATGTGAATGTGCAAGCACTAAGGAACCAAGCAAAGCTACGCTCACTCCTAGTAGTTCGTGCCAACCCCCGTAGTCTAGCTCACTACCGTTGTAGAGTGAATCTTCGCACTTCCAGGATGCCATCTCTGCGTCCATGGCTGACTGCCACTGAGAGGAGTAGGGACCCTCCATCGCCTCTGCATAAGAGCGCGGGGTCGGGATGTCTGGTGCATCCGGGTCTCCCTCAGGTGCAATCAGCATGGACACGAGATGAAGTACAGCAGCTGCAAAGCACTCAAAGTCCTCCTGCCTGTCCTCAAGGACGTCCGTGCCAAGAGCACACTCCCCCCCGACGGACGGAGGACAGACAGACTCAGACTCAGCAGTGGACTCAAAGGAAGGGTCAGTGACAACAGTGGCCAAGAGACGCGTGACAGTAGGACTAGCAGCACGAAGGGAGTCAGACTCTGGGTCTGGACCGTCAGCAAGGGAGGACGCAGGAGGAGACGGCAGAGGGACACGCAGTGGAACAGAGGAAGGACGAAGTGCCATCTGGTGTGTGCTGGGGACAGGAGAGGACGCGGACGCAGAACACGACGAATAGTGCGAGCAGTGCGAACAGGCGACGCAGGATGAGACGCAGGCTCACGACGCTCAGCAAGGCCTCCGGTCGGCCCAGTGTAAGGAGAAGGACCAGGCAGTGGGGAGGCTGTCTGTAACTGCGACTGCGTCTGGTCGGGCAACGGACACAGTAAGGGAGGAGTAGGACCAGTAGAAGGCGGGAGACCAAGAACTTGCTGAAGGAGTGGAAAGAAGTACGGCCGTGGTCGTGAAGCACCACCGGAACCAGCAGAGACAGCTACAGCACCCCCAGCTCCAGGGTCTCCAGCTCCAACTCCTGCAGCACCACTAGCCCCAGCACCAGCAGCACCACCAGCAGGAACAGCTCCAGCGCCTCCAGCTGCAACTCCTGCAGCACCACCAGCAGGACCAGCTCCAGCGCCTCCAGCTCCAACTCCTGCAGCACCACTAGCTCCAGCACCAGTAGTACCACCAGCAGGAACAGCTCCAGCGCCTCCAGCTCCAGCTCCAGCAGCACCTCCAGCAGCTCCAGCTCCAGCAGCACCAGCACCTCCAACAGCTCCAGTAGTACCTCCAGCCCCAGCAGCTCCAGTACCTCCAGTACGAGCACCATCGGGACTAGCGGCTCCAGCACCTCCAGCATCTCCAGCTCCAGTAGCACCACTCCGGAGGCTCCAGCACCTAGCAAACCACTCGCGGAGCTGCAGTCGAGAGAGAGAGACTCCAGCTCAGCACACTCGGGCTCAGCACCCCCAGGCTCCGCACGCTCAGGCTCAGCACCCCCAGGCTCCGCACCCGCAGGCTCAGCACCCCCAGGCTCCGCACCCTCTGACTCAGCACCCCCAGGCTCAGCACCTCCAGGCTCCGCATTCTCAGACTCAGCACCCCCAGCACGCTCAAACTCAGCACCCCCAGGCCCCGCACCCGCAGGCTCAGCGCCCCCAGACCCACCACCTCTAGCAGCACCAGAGTCGACAGCTACCTCGAGAGGCTCGACAGGGTCTACCTGGGACACACCTAAGGGAGTAGGACTCTCAGGGGGGAGGGGGTCTACCGGAGGAGGACCTGGCACGAGGAAGAGCGGCGGGGGAGGGAGAGGGGCAGTGCGGTAGGGGAAGAGACGGTAAAAGGGAACCGACTCATCAAACGTGACGTCCTGAGAGGGCAAGACACAGCGCGAGGTGGGGTGGTAAAACTGCCAACCAGGCACGTCAGGGACAAAGCCAAGGAAGACACAGGGAACGGCGCGGGAGGAGAGCTTGTCCGCGGACGTATCGCGGACAAAGGCTCGACATCCCCAGACCCGGAACACCGACGCATCGCCAACCTCCCCCGTCCAACGCAGTGTGGGCGAGGTCTCCGGCAAGGAGACACGAGGCCAGAGGTTGAGCTGATGCGCAGCGTACTGGACTGCAAACGGCCAGAGAAAATGGGGGGCAGCCGCATGGATCATGGAGGTACGAGCGACCTCCATGACTAAGCCAATGCGGCGCTCAGCAAACCCATTCTACTGCGGAGAGGCCGGAAGCGTGAATGTCTGGTGAATGCCCTCCGTACGACAAAAGGCCCGCAAGAGGTCTGAGGAAAGCTCACCACCTCTGTCAGAATGCAGACGCAGGACTGGAAGGTCCGTCTCGAACCGCTCGCGGAGCTGGAGACGAACAGCGCGGATCCAAGGGATCAGATCATCAGGGACCTCCCCATTGCGGCGCAAGGGGAAGACCGTGGTGTAACGCGAATAGTCGTCGACAACCAGCAGAAAGTATTGATGGATAGCGTGCGAATCTGGAGAGCATACAAGAGATTAAGTCCGCCGACTTCGACGGAACATTGCATACAGCTCACGTAACCTTAAGCTATGAGCAGGTATGCGTTGGAAACGTCTTAATCTCTAATTTCCAGAATGGTAACGCCTGCCTTAAACCAAGATCTAGGCCGATCGCTATCGCAATTTAAGTGCGACGGGGTGTCCTAGCCGAATTACTTGGCAGCCATGGATTACATATAGGAATGGCTTAAGCTAGAGTTCAGATCTGAAAAAAATGACGAGCTTGACAAACCCTACCATCCCAACCCTCGCCATAAAACAATCCCCAACAATCCAAAATGCCAAACTAGCAACACCAAAGGTGTTGTAGTGGGTAGCAAAGGTTTGTTGGTGCTTGTTTGGTGCGAGATCAAATCCAGCCCGTAACAAGTCTAGCAATCATATTTTGCCCAAACCCTTAGCCCACAACCAGCTAGAGCAAAATACCACAACCACCTACACAATCAACACTCCCCCTTGCTCATGCTGGAGGTGGCTGAACACCACTGGGCAAAATCCTTCACTCCACTCCCCCTTGCCCAGGAAGGGGAGCCGTCCACAGCATGATTTCGTCAAGGCAGAGAAGCACCAGCCCTCCCACATCCTGCTCAGGCACCATGCCAACATGGGGCTGCATCCCCATCAAGGACATGCACACACCGTGCCGCTCAAAAGGAAGGGGTTTGGTGAGTATGTCTGCTGCCTGACGGTTGGTTGGGCACCACCGGAGGATCACCTCGCCGCTTGCCACCATCTCCCTGATGAAATGCCACCGAACCTGCATGTGCTTGGTGCGGCCATGCAAGCATGCATTCTGTGCAAGGGCAATGACAGACTGGTTGTCCACAAACACAGGCACACCACCAGCAAGCTCATGCCCAAACTCCCCAAACAAACGCTTCAGCCACACACCTTCCTGAATGCACTGACACAGACTGATGTATTCACTCTCAGTGGTGGACAATGCAACCACCGGCTGCCTCTTGCTCTGCCAAGAGATGGCTGCACCATTAAGGCAATAGACATAGCCGGTGTGACTCTTGCGGTCAGCTGAATCTCCGGCATAATCAGCATCACTAAAGCCCACCAACTCAACTTGAGGCTTGCTGTGTGCGGGGTAGAAGATACCTGACTTGACACAACCTTTCAGGTACCTTAGCACTCTCTTAGCAGCCTGTAGATGAAATGCCTTGGGACAAGACACCACCTTGGACAGCTGTGACACTGCATAAGCAATCTGGGGCTGTGTGGTCGTGCTTGCATACATGAGAGAACCCACAATGCTTTGATAGAGCTGGACCAGCTCATCTCTCAGCAAGGGCTCCTCAGCATGGGCATGCACGTCGAACCCTGTAGGGAGAGGGGTACGCACGGGGTTAGCCTCAGAAAGGCCAAAGGACTCAAGCATGTTGAGAATGTACCTCTCCTGATGAATCAAGATGCCACTCTCATCACGCTCAATCTGCACCCCCAAATAGTACTTAGCCTCCCCCAAGTCCTTCATGCGGAAACGAGATGACAAGAGACCCTTCACCTCGTCCAGCAAGACCATGCTTGAAGACATGAGCAGAATGTCATCCACATAGAGGTAGAGGGACAACCTGTCCTCATCCCTCACCAAGTGGTACAAGGCACGGTCACACTCAGACCTCTCAAAGCCAAAATCCATCAACGCCTCATCAAACTTGAGGTACCACTGCCTTGGAGCTTGCTTAAGCCCATAGATTGATTTTTTGAGTCGGCAAACCCTGCCGGACCCATCATCAAAACCAGGGGGCTGCCTCATGTAAATCTCCTCCTTCAAGACCCCATGAAGATAGGCAATGGTCACATCCATGTGATGGATGTGAAACCCCGAGGAGGCTGCCATCCCAAGGGAGCCTCTCAGGGTAGTAGGCTTACCCACCGGGGTAAACACCTGGTCATAGTGAACACCCCGTGTTTGAGTGTTCCCCATGGCCACCAACCTGGACTTAGGTCTCTCAATGCTACCATCAGCCTTGTGTTTGTACTTCCACACCCACTGACACCTCAATACCTCCATACCAGGTGGCACACAAGCTGGATCAACCAGCTCAAAGGACTCGTTCACCTTATGAGACTCAAGCTCCTCGCGCATGGACTCGACCCACTCAGGACGGGACAAGGCCTCCTTGACTGACTTAGGCTCATGTACCTGACCCATAAGACAAAAATCAAGTCCATGCGCACCCCCATCAGCATCCACAAGCATGCACTCCTCCAAATCATGCACCTCATGATCATGCATGCAAGCATACTGTGCACTTGGTGTGAACCTCTCAGGTGGCCGGGAGATGCGTGTGGTGCGGCGCAGAGGTGATGCCTCCCCCTGCTCCAAACTTTGCAGCTTCTCCCTCCAAGTCACTCTCTTCATGGGGGACCGTGGTGACTTGGGCAGCTGCTGCTGCAGTAGTTGCTGCCACCTACCCACAGGAACAGGCGGTGTATGCTGTTGTGGTGGGTGCTGTGGCTTCTCTTGTTGCTGCTGCTGCTGCCCCTGTGGCTGCTCCGGGTCATGGGCTGGTGCGTTAGGGTCAGGGGTAGAACCAGCAGTTGGTGACTCCTCATGGTGAGGTGCAGCTGCTTTTTTTTCCTCTTGCTGCTCCTGTAACTCCTCTCCAGGGTCCTCCCATGCCCCCTCAAAGATGGAAGAGGTGTAGGGATCCTGGAGGGAGCTCCCAACTGTACTAGCACCACGCTCCTTCCACCCCTTGTAGCTCAGCCCCTCGTGAAAAACCACATCCCGGCTTTCCACCACCCGCTGATCCGCCACACTCCACAACATCCAAGCTTTGCTCCTCTCCGACACCCCAAGGAAAATTCCCCATTGTGCCTTAGAATCCAGCTTCCTCCGTTGCTGGTCGGGCACTTTGTACTGCGCCATGCAACCCCACACTCGGGCCATCGACACACTAGGCACCTTCCTGGTCCACATGAAGTATGGGCTCTTGCCCTCTAGCCCCTTGCTGCCCATCCGGTTCTTAACCCAGTTGGCATATTGCACTGCTGCCCCCCACCAAGTATGGTCCAGCTGCGCATGAGCAAGCATGGCTCGGGCAAGGTCAATGAGGGTCCGGTTCAGCCTCTCTGCTGCCCCATTTTGCTGTGGCGTGTAGGCAACTGAAAGCTGGTGGGTGATGCCCTTGTCTTCAAGGAAAGACTCCAGATCCTTCCCCATGTACTCCCCACCCCGATCAGACCTAAGTATTTTCACCTTGGCCCCGGCTTCCCTCTCCGCATAGCGTATCCAACGCTTGAAGACCTTGGCCACCTCATCCTTGGTTTTCACCAAGGTAACCCAACTTAGGCGGCTGAAGTCATCCAAGAAGGTGATGAAGTATTTGCTGCCCTTCTCCCTTTCTGGTGTTTGCATGGGGCCACACACATCCGTGTGCACCAACTCAAGAGGTGCGAAGGCTCTAGTGGTGGAGGTAGGGAAGGAGGTCCTTGGCAGCTTCCCGGTCGTGCAATCAGGGCACTTGCTTGGCTGCCCACCACCCTCCTTGATCTCCACTCCCTTCAGCTCCCCCTTCTTCACACACTCCACAAGTTGCTGCCTTCCCGCATGCCCCATGCGTAGGTGCAGCAAATCTGCCGTCACCTGCTCTACGTCCCTCCAACGGGTGCTGCAAGCAGCATCCTTGGCTTCAACCCCATGTGCCTTCTCCACGTGAGGCACACACACTGGAACAAGGTATAAACCCTTCTCTAACTTGGCCTCCATCACCACAGCTCCACCCTTGCGAACCGTGCACCCTCCCATGGTGAAGGTGCATATGTATTCTTGCTTCGCAAGCTGAGAGCAAGAGAGAAGGTTGGCTGCCAATCTAGGAACATGAAGCACACCCTTCAAATTCAGCACCTCCCCCTCCTTCCCCTTGACGGTGATGGTGCCGATGCCGATTGCTTGCAGCGTATCTCCACTCCCCACAATCACATTTCTGGAGTTAGGTGGGAGGGAGTGATAGGTGGTGAAGAGGTCGCGCCGAGGTACCATTCCACAGGTTGCCCCAGAGTCTAGAATGAGCTGGTTGGGGTCAGCCAACACACGACCAGCAAGCGCCGTCTCCTTCTCCAAGGATAAGAAGGAGAAACCATCATCCGATGAGTCCTCCTTTCCCTTCTTATCCTCGTTTGCCGCCGCTGCTGCCGCTTTCTCTTTGTTGCCCTTCTTGTTCCATGCTCCATTCTTTATCCTCCTCTCCACCCACTCAGGCCTAGTGACAGGTGGAGCCTCTCCTGGGTACCCTTGAGGCTTCCACCCATTTGGTCGGCTCCAACACTCCTTCCAAGAGTGCTTCCGGTTGCATCCAGGGACGAGGCACTTGTCGAGCTCCTTCTTCTTCCCCCCACCTCCTTGCCGCTGCTGGTACTTCTTGGAAGCAGCGCTATCACCTGCCCCCAGTCCCCTTCAACTCCTCTACCAGCATCACGCTTGCGAGCCTCATCAGAAACCAACACCTCCCATATCCATGCCTTGGTCCATTTCTGCTGCTCAAGGTGAAGGTACTGCAGTAGGGCCTCGTTCGCCTCTTGGTCCAGCCCCTGGAGTGCGGTGTAGATGATCTCCTTCTCATCTACTTTGTAGTTCAACTCCTCCAAGGCCCTGACATACTCATCCACCCTCTGGAGATACTGCACCATGGTCTCTCCATCACCATAGTTGCGTTCCATGGTGTAGAACCGCTTCCTCCAGGTGAGTATGCTTAGCAACCCTTTTTGCAAATGTCGAACTTGAACTCTCTTCCATGCTTGGGCAGCTGCTCCTTGCTTCCCCTTCAGGTCAATCAACATCTTTAGGAGCTCTAGTTGGCCTTCCAAAGCCCAACACAGGTACTGGAACCCTTGCTTGTCCTTGCGGTCCCATGCTTCTTGTGCCTTAAGTAGCTCCTCCGCACTAAGCCGGTGCCTTCCGGTTCGCGGTGTTGCTGATCCACCTCCACTTCCCTCACTTATAGATGAGCTAGAGGCTCCCCCAGCCCCTGCTCCCTCTTGGCTAGACACTCCAGCAGATGCCTCTGCTTCATCAGCTCCAGGTCTTCGCTCCGATCCCTCCAAAACGCCTTCTAGGTCTTTGATACCTAGCCAAAGCGTAAACTGGAACCGCCATAGCGAAAAATCCGAGCCGGTGAACCTAGGAGAGCCATCTAATTTCTGGGCCATGACCAACCCTAGATCTGGATGTCCTTAAACCAATTCTAAATTTGATAAAAATAGGGAATGTCGCAGGCCTAACCAGCTCTGATACCACTGATGGATAGCGTGCGAATCTGGAGAGCATACAAGAGATTAAGTCCGCCGACTTCGACGGAACATTGCATACAGCTCACGTAACCTTAAGCTATGAGCAGGTATGCGTTGGAAACGTCTTAATCTCTAATTTCCAGAATGGTAACGCCTGCCTTAAACCAAGATCTAGGCCGATCGCTATCGCGATTTAAGTGCGACGGGGTGTCCTAGCCGAATTACTTGGCAGCCATGGATTACATATAGGAATGGCTTAAGCTAGAGTTCAGATCTGAAAAAAATGACGAGTTTGACAAACCCTACCATCCCAACCCTCGCCATAAAACAATCCCCAACAATCCAAAATGCCAAACTAGCAACACCAAAGGTGTTGTAGTGGGTAGCAAAGGTTTGTTGGTGCTTGTTTGGTGCGAGATCAAATCCACCCCGTAACAAGTCTAGCAATCATATTTTGCCCAAACCCTTAGCCCACAACCAGCTAGAGAAAAATACCACAACCACCTACACAATCAACAAGTATCGCTCGTGGCCCTATCCACGGACGCGGGCTGGGCCCCACACGTCTAGGTGGAGAGTCTGCAGAGGAGCCTCTGTCGGGGGGAACGAGGAGTGAGGAGCGGCGCGCTGCCGCCCATCGACACAGGGAAGGCAGGGAGGGGCAGGCGAGGGTGGGAGGGGAGGGAGAGACCTGGGAAGACCAGAGACAAGGAGACGGGAGTGCATGCCACGGAGGCGTGCCACATAGGGGTGACCAAGGCGGTGGTGCCAAAGGAGCGTCTGGTGCGACAGGGTGCGATACGAGCTGGGGGCCGCAAGCTGACCTGACGCAGACGCAGGCGCAGCTACCTGAGGAGGCGCAGTAGTCTGTGTATACAGACTCGACCCAGGCCGACGGGTGAACGTGGCCACTTTTTTTTTTTTTTTTTTGCTCTTTTTTCAGTTAATGCAGAGCTGCTTAAGACACACAATTGCACTGACATTGGTGAACTGCGCAACTATCTTGGCTTGCAAATTACTAGGGACAGAGCAGAGTACACCATCACTCTGACTCTGTCACACATGGTGCAACAGGTCCTTCGGCAATTCCTGTCAGAATAATGAACAGGAATGAATGAACTAGCAGCAAGATGGGTACAAGTAGCAAACCCTAATTTGGGTTGTACCCCATATGGGCTACCCCACTACAGCCTTCACAACAAGTTACACATAGTTTGTCAGTTGGCTACAAGGGAAAGGTGGGTGTCACCTTCCTTTGGTCTCTTCCTTTACTCTTCTCTCCTTCACCTCTTCTTTCATTTCTCTTCCTCCCTCCTCTTCACTTCTTACAACCCTCGTTCTCTCGTTCAGTTGGCTAGCTAGATTCCTTCTTTGGCACGTAATTGAATTCAACATTACAATCCTCAATACTGCTATGTACCGAACTACACATCAGTTCGATTATTTTTATTATTCGTAATTATTTTCTGTGACAGTGTCATCAGGTTCGGATAGCTGTGTCGCCAATCTCTGCTCTTCATCATGCTTTGAAGTCCTTGGTGGGAATCTTCCACCCCGAGATGACGTGCCTGTCAGAAACATTAGCTAGAATGTTCGAATCAGGAAAGAGGGCTTTCACTGGCAACAGATAGGATACATATAGCAAACCCTAATTTGGGTTGTACTCACTATAAAGTACCCCACTACAGACTAGACAATAACACATTCTGACAGTGCCAAGATGTGATAGAAGCTCTTGAGCTCCTTCTTCGCCGCCTTTAAACACACACCCCGAATTACACAACGAATTCAACGAAAATTTTGTAGGCTCGAAAAAACCCCAGAAGGAGGTTTGGTGGGAAAATCCAGAACCAATCGCGTCAAAAACTCTCTTAAAACTTTTGACCAATCACGTGAAAGTGGTGACAGTTTTGGGGCCGACACGATAATTCTGGATGTGTCCTTCAAGTTAAATCTCAATGTGGACGGGGTTTTAGAGGGAGGATGTACGACGACATGCTGAGAGTAATCCGACGTGACGGCATGTACAAAATCCAATCTCACGGAGGAGCATGCGGCCAAACAGCTCGTCGTTTCCTGCCAGCCAATCCAGACACCTTAGCTCCCTCTGGTCCTCCCTGGACAGCTAGGACTCTACCTGAAACAGCTTCGCGCCGCCCATCTGCTGCAAGTCCCACATGCATTACTTCATCGTGGCCACGATCTCCTTCACGAACCCCGTGCACAACTCCACACATTCCCCAAGTGTGCCTCCAAACTTGTACTTCTAGGTTGGTTTCTCGCTTAGTTCGAATCGATGTGATGTAGGCCGGCCATCGCCATCAATCCCTTCAACCACCAGCGTCCAATCCTCCCCGCTGTGTTCTTTGATGAATCTTGACAGGAGCTTGCTGACTCCGCCCCCAAAATGTCTCCCCGTACTTGATGTACCGGTGCGTGATGATGGAGATCGTGCGGTCGACTTCCTTCGCCACTTGGGTGATGTCGACCTGGAAAACATAGGGGCGCCAAACATGTTAGTACAGTAAATTTAGAGCTACAAGAAACTGTACAAAAATGCCGTATTACACTTGCCTTGCGGGGCTGGAAAAACCGGTTGAGGACGTTTAGCTCTGCAAGAATGTCAGCCAGGAAGTACAAACAAAAATGAAACTTAAAAGTCTGCACCGTTGCTGCAATCTTGTGGCCATACTCCACAATTATGACTATCGCGGCCTCGGAAACTCTGTACAGACGTGTGATTGCGTCTCCCTGCGCCAGCCACCGGACATTGAATAGTCCTTGATGCTCCAGGTTGGTAGGGTGTATCTCCTATTGCAGCTCCTTGAACCTCTCGTACCAGATGCTGGAGCGACATATGATTTCCCCAACTGCACGCACACCAACATCGATCATGTTAAGGTCGGGGAAGGCCTTTGCTGCATCCTTGACTACTAGCGCCTCTCCGCCACAGATCGGTGATTAAAGAGAAAAAGGTAAGTACAACGATACCACGTGCAATAACAACCATATGAGAGCAATCGAGGGTACCATTGACATCACCGATGTGCAACGCAATGACACCCGACAACGTGCAGAACGCGTTCACGAAGGTGGAAAACAAGGTCGCCCTTATCGCCCGTCATGACGGAAGCCCCGTCGGTGCCAACGCCGGACAACCGATTGATGTCGACACCGATAGAGTCCAAGTGGCTCATGAGCACGGTAAAAGCAAAGAAGCGTCGCACTTTTGCACCGTGAGCAGCGCCATGAATTCTGTCACGACGACACCATTCTTGAGGAAAGTGGCAAACACTATCAAATGTTTGCCACACGCGCGGTCGGTGCCCTCATCACATGTCATGCCGATGAAGGGTGAAGAGAGTAGATGTTGCAGATGCTGATATCTCTGGTACTTTGCCATCGCCCCTATCATCTCGTTGAAGCCGTACATGCCACACGCAGCGGGTCGGTGTCAAGCATGTATGTTCTCAATGAGAACAATCTACCATTCATATCACAACAACACAAGCATCGGGTGACTTACTGAGTAGTGTGAACCCCGTAAGACTGCAGCGGGATGTCGGCAACTCCTTCTTCGGCCAGAAAACCAACGAGCTTCGGGAACATGGCGATTGGAGCGTCGTGATCGCATATGAACTCCACGCTCCGCATGAGACGAGTGAGCCGCACACCCTCCTTGTTGGCGTTGGCGAAATCGTCTAGTCGTTTCTGCTTCTCGATCTCCGCCATGAGCGTCCGCCGCCTCTTCATAGATTCGTCGTGGCGGGCACTCAGCTCGTGACATCACATAGAGCCCAGCTGCAGATCGCGTCCATCGGTTTCGTTGCGACCGAACTTAGCGTCGTCCTTGCCGTGCTCCACACATATGCTGCATCGCAAGATGGGCAAGCCTTCCTCATTTTTATTGAGCATAAGCCAATCCAACCTTTATGGCCACCGCATGATGTATAGCTGCTGCGCCTTTTGAAATTTCTCCTCTGCCTTTTCGGCGCGGGTGAGTTCACGAGACACACGCGAGGGAGCTTGGACGGGGGCTGGAGGTGGAGTCGGCTTCGCAGGGGGCGTGCCGAACGGGAGATAGGCTTGCGCAAGGCGACGTTTCTTCTTTGAGGCAGTAGACGAAGACTCGCCGACCTCTCTTACAGTGATGGTGGCGGGAGCATTGTCGAGCTCGACGACATAGAAACCAGCAGGACGAGTAGGAGGCAGCTTTTCGCTGTTGCACGATGACGGGTCTGCAGTGTCGACAGACAGAGGGTTCTGATACAGCCCTCAGAGTATATCTAGGCCTGTCCGCGAGGGAGCGTCTTTAGGTGGCTCCTCAGCAGCTTCTCCTCCATCATCGTCCTATGTAGGCGCCATGGCTGCTGATGCATATCAGCAAAAACTGCTAGCTCTGTTGGAAAGCACAAATGAGAGAGAGGTCT